CCTGTTTCTTGGCCCATGCTGCTTGGAGAGCGTCCTGGGCGCCGAACTGTTTCTCGTTCAAGCTTGCTGGCGCCGACAGTGATCTGCGGCGACGCGTCGCGCTCCACCCTGGAGGAGGTGGCCTAGACTCGAGCGCTCGTTGCGGTTGGCGGCGCAGGGCGACGCATTTTTACAGGGGGGTCCGGCCCATGGCTGCCCATGTCCATTTGCGCCGTCGATTCGACAGGTGGCCGTCGCGGACATTCCCAGGCCGCCGCGTGGAGCGCGCGTTGATCGCGTTCCAGGTTCTGGGGCGCTGTGCGGCCCCCCGAGTCCAAGCCGCATACCTGCGCGCAATTTGCGACGGTTGGTGCGCGCGACGTCGCTTTCAAACGCGTGGCCCTTGCGCGTTCGCTTGTGGCGTTGGCGACGATCGCCTCGCGCATTTTGCGCGCTGCCCAACAAGTCGAAGGCTTACTGCTGAGCAGTTCGATGGGCCAACTCCGGCTCCGGGGTGGGCCCTCGATTACTTCCCATGCATGCCTCCGAGCAGTGTCTCGGGAGCGCTGGGTGGAGACTCGCTCCTCCTGCAGCGCGCTCTCTCCCTCGATGCCCTCTTCAGACTCCATAGTGGCATCCGGCATCGTCAGTTTTCCCTTCCGAGTTCTCGGGGGCGTGCACCGGGGTCCTCCGCGAAGGGGCGAGGTAGCCTTTGACTTCTCTTTTTGTTCCTCCTCCTCCTCCCCGTCCTCATCTGGCTCCTCCTCCCATCCTGTGATGACGTGTCTGTCCGTGTGTGCATGGCTGTCTCGGCACTGGCGCGTTGGCACTTGCGCCTCGCGATTCTCCCACCATTCGTGGCTTGGCTTATTCCGTCTCCCCGTCTGTGTGCTGCCGCTAGCCAGGCGATTGAGTTTGCCCGTTTCTTCAGTCCGACCCGGGTCCGGAGCGATCGGTGTTTCTGTTTATGTTACGCTCTGCGACGCATTGGGCTTTCTGCGTGTGTGTATTATTTAAATGGTTGGAGGCCGTCAGGGCTTCGCGCACAACCGGTGCGTTTGTCTAGTATGGGCGACGTTGCCAGCGAGTGCGGATGTTGTCCGACTCGCTTGTGAAGGCAAGTGCTTAAGCGGGCAGGAAACGTTTTTTTCCCCAGTGCGTCTCGTCTGCAGCATCGAATACAGTTGTTAGACGGAAGCGTGAGCTCGTGGACGTTGATTTCGTGGGTATTGTACACCAGCGTGACGCACCTTTTTTGGATTGCGGACGCCTGAGCGAAATGGGGCACGGATCGCGAGTCAATCCGAGAGATAGTGGCGGGCATGTCTTTGTCACATACTTTTAGTACGTTTTCGAGGAAGCTAATCGTATTGTTTTGCATCCAGAGGAGGATTGCGTAGGAACGCACCCATCCGGCTGAATGACCTCGGGAGAGCCTGCCCGCGTCGACCATGGGTATTGTGATCCTTTGTTGTTCGCTGTGTGACAATGCGGAATGGACGCGTTTGCGCAAATATGCGTTTCCACATCCTTGTACTGTTTGTTGTTCAGCCCCGTTCAAGTTGAGCATGGAACGTCACTGTGATAGGCGATGTGTGCCTTGCGCTGCACTTGTGTGCCGCCTGACGCGTTGTGTTCAGGATGTCCTTGCACATGTGCGGTGTATTCTAGTTTTGACGTGCAGTGCGTTCGGAAGCGAGCCCCTGCGCGGTTGCGCTTCATACAGCTGGCAGCTTAACGCCCAGCCAATTGTTTGGATTTATGCCTTTGCCGCTCTAGTGTTGCATTCAACTTTGCTCAGAGGTGTACTCTGCGACTGGTGTATGCTTTTCTGGAATATTCTTCCCTGCAGACTTTGATGGGAGGCGTCAGGGGAGCTTTTGCTCTAAAGTGCATATAGATATGGTTTAGTTCTTGTTTGTGTAGAAAAGTCTGCTACTGTTTCGGGTCGCGTCCGCAGGCGCACGCGCCTCGAATGATCGACTGCGGATCGCATATGCCCTCGCCAAAGATGTTATGATCTCTACCATGTGTTGCCGTGATTTCGATCACCGTTGTGCATGGCATTGTGCATCCCAAACTCGCTCTCCCTCTCTTTCTCTATCTCCTGCCCCCGGTCCCATATCCGTTTTGTTTTGTCGCTCTCGCTCTCTCCCTCTCTCTCTCTGTCTCTCTTTCTCTTGCCATCTCCCTCTCTCTCTCTGTCTTTCTTTCCTCTTGCAGCTCTCCCGCTCTCTCCCTCTCTCTCTGTCTGTACATACTGTGTGAATAGGTGTATACATTTCTATACATATATATACATAGTCTATAGATACACAGTTCTATGCACGTGCTTCCCTCGAGCACACCCTCGCTGTCTTTTGTTCCCCACCATCCTGTGGTGTTGGGTCCCTGTTTTGAAAAGAGCGCCCCGCGTCTCCCGCAGTCCTTCCTTCCTCCCCCTCCTCCTCCTCCCAGTCGTGCCTCTGCCTTTCGCACCCAGTACAGCGCTTCGTGGCCCCATAGGGAGCTCCACCGAAGGCCCCAATGGTTGTGCTCACATGCGTCCCGGCCCCTCCCAGTACGGCGCTTCGTGGCCCCATGGGGAATTCCACCGAAGGCCCCAGCGGCTGCGATCACATGCGTCCTGGCCCTCCCAGTACGGCGCTTCGTGGCCCCATGGGGAGCTCCACCGAGGGCCCAATGGTTGTGCTCACATGCGTCCCGCGCCACCCAGTACGGCGCTTCGTGCGTTGCCACATAGGGAGCTCCACCGAAGGCCCCAGTGGTTGTGTGCACATGCGTCTCGCGCAACCCAGTACGGCGTCTCGTGCCCTCACAGGGGTCTCCACCGAAGGCCCCTGTGGTTGTGCTCACATGCGCCCCGCGCCACCCAGTACGGCGTTTCGTGGCCCCATACGGGACTCCACCGAAGGCCCCAGTGGTTGTGCTCACATGTACCCCGCGCCACCCAGTACGGCGTTTCGTGGCCCCATACGGGGCTCCACCGAAAGCCCCAGTGGTTGTGATCACATGCGCCCCTTGCCACCAAGTACGGCGCTTCGTGGCCCCATGGGGAGCTCCACCGAAGGTTCCAGCTGCTGTGAGCACATGTGTCCCGCGCCACCAAGTATGGCGTGGCGTTGCCATATAGGTAGCTCCACCGAAGGCCCCAGTGGTTGTGCTCACATGCGTCCCGCCCTTCCCAGTACGGCGCTCCGAGGCCACATTGGGCGTCTCACCGACGGCCCAAGTGGTTGTGATCAGAATGCGTCTCGCGCCACCCAGTACGGCGTTTCGTTGGCTTCATAGGGAGCTCCACCGAAGTCCCCAGCGGTTGTGATCGCATGCGTTCCGCGCCACCCAGTACGGCGTTTCGTGGCCCCATAGGTAGCTCCACCGAAGGCCCCAGCGGTTGTGCTCACATGCGTCCCGCGCCATACAGTACGGCGCTTCGTGGCTCCACAGGGAGCTCCACCGAAGGCCCCAGCGGTTGTGATCACATGCGTCCCGCACCTCCCAGTACGGCGTTTCGTGGCCCCATACGGAGCTCCAACGAAGGCCCCAGTGGATGTGATCGCACGCGTCCCGCGCCACCCAGTACGGCGTTTCGTGGCCCCATGGGGAGCTCCACCGAAGGCTCCAGTGGTTGTGATCACATGCTTCCCGCGCCACCCGGTACGCCACAGGGAGCTTTACCGAAGGCCCAAGTGGCTGTGAACACATGCGTCCGCGCCACCTAGTGCAGCGTGTCGTGGCCCCACAGGGAGCTCCACCGACTGCCCCAGTGGCTGTGACCACATGCGTCTCCCCCACCCATTTCGGCACACCTCGCGCGCCTTTCGTGGCCTGCCCCCAGGGAGCTCCACCGAAGGCTTTGGAGGCTGTGTCCACATGCGCCCCCCCGCCCATGTCGGCATACCCCTCGCACGTCTCGTGGCCCCGTAAAAACGTTCCCTCCTCAGTACCATTTGCCTTCACCGAGCGCGTCTCACTACTCGCAAAGCACCTACTCGCAAACGTTCGAAAAACACACGGTCGCCTCAACGCAACACATCGTAGATTCCCCGCGGCGGATCCAGGCCACTTGCGAGTAGTAACTTTGCTGCGAGTAGTGGAACGCGCTCGTCTACGCCTTGCGGTGCTCACAATTGCATATGATTGGGTCCTTCTCCTGCATTGTTTTTTGCGTTTTCTCTCTTTCTCTCTCTCTCTCTCTTTGAGTCTCTCTTTCACTCTCTCTCTCTCTCTTTCTCTATCTCTCTTTCTCTTTCCCCCGCATTCTCTCACGCAGGTTCCTCCCCCTCCCTTCCCTTTTGCGCGAAGATGATACATCCATCACCTTCGGCGGGTGGGGTGCACATGCGACCGCAATCCCCGCGCCACAAAGAAGTACGGCCACACCGACGCGGATAATTTTAGTTTTTTGCAGAAGCCCGCATCTTCGTCAGGAGATGTCGTTGCTCGGGGTTGCGGGTCACGGGACTCACGAACGGAATTTGTTGAATCCGTCTATGTTTTTTTGTTGGGATCAGTGCGAACATTCGTGTTTGTCATGCTATATCCGTTTCAGTGTTCTCATTCGTGGTAGTGGTTGTAATAGAGGTAGTTGTGGTAGTAGTTGTAGAGGTTGTTTAACCATTGTTGGTTGTTGTCATGGTTATCGTTATTATGATGTCGGTTGCCTACTGCTTGCTGTTGTTTATCCTCGGTGTTGTTGTGTGATGTTTTTGCCTAGAAACCACCCTGGCAAGACACAGGAGGACGAAAACGAGGAAGAGGAGGACGAGAGACAGTTGGGCACATCCAGGGACGTTTAACGTGAACGATCCGTGAGCACATTTGGTGTATTTTGGTCGGCTTAGGTCCTGTCGGCCTGGGTTCCACAAGCAGTTGGAAACACATCAAATCTATCCAGTTTCAGTTCGTCTCGGTTTCAAGAACCTCAAACAAGCGTTCACATCCTAATTAAGCCGGGGGCTCCAGTGAGGGGGTTGGTCCGTGGATGGTCAGTTATTCCTCCTGCTCACGCGCGTGCTAAGGCTTGGCGTGAAAGGACAGTACGATTTTGTGTACGCGCCCATGGATTTCAAGAGCAAGCGCAGCATGGGTTGCGTGGGGTCGCCGAATGGTCTGGGTTGCGAGTGGACGCAGGGGAGAAGAACCATGCCGTGATGCAGGATGAATGAGATGGTGATAGTGTTACTGCGGACGACCATACTCAGGAAGATGTCAGGAAGATGACGTCGATGAGGTCGAAGTGCACGGGCCAAAGCAGGAAGATTACAAGGATAAGGCGGGGTAGGATACAGAGCACGATAATACCCCTGAGGCACGCTGAAAATGAAGGTAACGATGAGTATGATGATGTTGATACTTGTGATAATGATGTTGATGCTGATGATGGTGATGATGATGACTATTACGATGACGATGACGATGACGACGCGGATAATGATGATGAGGATGATGAGAATGAGGATGCTGATAATGATGCTGATGATGATAACGGTTTGGTGTTGGTGTTGTTGGTGTTGGTGGTGGTGATGATGGTGATGTTGATGGCCACGATCATGTTGATGATGATCCTGATGCTGATGCGGATGATGATGAGGATGATGATGGTGATGATGATGATGCCGATGCTGATGCTGATGATGATGATGACGATGATGATGATACTGATAATGCTGATGTTGATGATTATACGGATGATGATGATGTTGATGATGATGCTCATTATGTTGATGATGATGTTGATGACGATGATAACGCTGCTGTTGATGATGCGACTGATGGTGCTGACTATGCTGCTGCTGCTGATGATGCTGATGCTGATGCTGATTTTGATTATGATGATGATGGTGATAGTGCCGATTATGATGTTGATGATGCTGATTCTGATGCTGCTGCTGCTGCTGCTGCTGCTGCTGATGATGATGATGATGATGATGGTGGTGGTGGTTGTGATGGTGGTGGTGGTGATGCTGATGCTGATGCTGATGCTGAAGAGGATGAGGATGAGGATGTGGTGGAGGAGGAGGAGGAGGAGGAGGACGAGGAGGAGGAGGAGGATCGCTGTGTGGTTGTGGTGATGGTGGTGGTTGTGGTGATAGTGGTAATGGTGACCGTGGTGGTGGTGACATGGCGATGACGATGATAATGCATGCTGTGTATGATGGAGAGGATGAGCCTGTCATCCTCATTGTCCTGCCTCTTTCTGACCTGCTTCTCCTCGTCCCTCTCCTTCTCCTCTGCCTCTGCCCTTCCTCGTCTCGCTGCTGCTTCTCATCCCCGCCCTTCTCGTCTGTCCGCCCTCATCCTGCCCGTCCTTTCGGGAGCATGTGTTGGCCCACGTGCCATTCCGAGAACCCAGGCATTCGCTTCGCTGTCCCGGTTATCTACCTGTTGGCCCTGGATCCTTAAGGGGCCCCAAGATATACACCACCACCACCACCACCTCCCTCACCCCCTCTCCCTCCCAGGAAAGAGGAGGGGAAGAGAGGGATGGACGAGGGAGGGGGTAATGGAGGTGGTGGTGGTGGTGGTGTATATGCTTGGGGCCCCCTGCCCAGGCCCAAGCCCCAGACTTCCGCCCGCTGGCGTGCTGGCGTGCCCGCCAGGGCTCTCGACCCCGTGGGTGGGGGCACCTCCTCGTCTCGGATACATCGTTCCCGAAGGCCTCCCGGGGGCCCGAGTGTCGGCGGCAGTGGGCGCGAGAGACGGGGGTCAATGCAAACGCTAAGTCGGGCATGTCCCTCTATAGGAGGAATATTCGAAATTAGTCAAACATAGCCTGGGGACTTTTTTTAATAGTATGTTTGGTTATTGTTTAAACTTTGTTTAATTTTTCGTCCAAGATCCGTCACAGGGGGACATGCCCGACCTAATGCAAACGGGGGTCAGCCAAGGCGACAGATCCTTCGAAAGACAAAGAAGTGCTTAATCATAACACTTGCTGGCGGTCCGCGCTGATTTCTTGGGTCGGCGCATGGCCCCCCCTGGCGGCGCTTCCGGCGCCGCCCCTTGGCGCGCTCCGCGCGCCAGGGAGGGGGGTCAGGCGCAGATCCAAGAAATCTGCGCGGGCCGTGAAACGTTTCGGTTTCTGCCGCTTTGTTTTTCAATCTGGCAGGATATGGCAGAGCCAGGGGTGCATTGACCCTGGCTTGGGCGCAGGATCCTGCAGCGTCCTGCAGGTCCTTGCAGGATACGCTGCAAGGCCCGACCGACCGGGGGCCGGATCGAAGCGGGCCGGCAGATCCCCGAGGTAGAGGGGCGCGCTGAATGCTGGCGGGGACTCCCCGCCAGCATTGAGCCTCCCCGCCGGGGAGGCGCCGTGGGTGAACCAAAGTTCACCACCCACCAAACCACCCCAACCCAACCCGAAGACCTCAATTTGCCCTCCATTTCTAGTTGGGGGGGGTTGGGGAACGCTGAAAAAACACATATGGAACCCGTACCCCCCCCAACCCGAAATTGGGGTCTTCGGGTTGGGTTGGGGTGGTCTGGTAGGTAGTCAAAAGTCTGGGGGAGGTTTGCCGAGAACGTGCCAACGTGGATTCGCTGGCGGCGCGCCGAGGGGCAGGCCTGCTCAGGGGACGGCGGGGCTGCCTGGGAAGCCGCGTGTGGCTTCGGAGGAGGCTCCGAGAGCTCGTCGGAGGGGCGCAGGCCTACGGAGCCTCTTGAGCAGGCCCGCCCCCCCTCCTCCTCCCCCCGCGGGGCGCGGCGCCGAGATATAAGGCGCGCGCGTGGGCGACGGGCCCCGCTGCCATGCAAAGAAGCGGCGCGCACCGTGGCCAGGTCAGGGGGCACCGGCTGCACGGTTTTTCGCGGGGGCTGCTCTCACCCAGGCCCACGCGCCAGATCTTCGGATGTCTTTACCCATGCAAACGTGCGTCTACGTCTGGGCCCCGCTCTTACAAACGTGTCCCCACTGGGCCGCCGCAGGCCTCTGGAGGTCTTCGGGAGCCCCTGGATGCACACGAGGGAGGCCTCCGTGGCTACCAACAGGCAGTCACCAGTTGCAGCGCACGGGGCGCAGCTCCCCCCCTCCTCCGCGCCAGCGTCCTCGCTGCAGCTGGGAGGGATGGGCGAGGACGGCCCCGCGGCAGGACAGCCTGCTAACTCCGTAGTCGAATCTCAGATGTCTGCATCGCTTCATGGCGGTGTCGGTGCGTGGGAAGCGACGGATCCCAAGCAAGAGGCTATGCCTTCGTGAACTTCCGCAGCGTTGCCGCGGCGCTCTTCTTCAAGAAGTCCATGGACGGCTTCTCGCGCTGGCCCATACGCAGCCAGAAGGCCCGCACAGAAGCTTAGCCGTCGATCTTCGTCGTCATCGTTGCCGTCTTCGTCGTCGTCGTCGTCGTTTTCGTCGTCGTTTTCGTTGTTTTCGTCGTCGTCTTCTCTGTCGTCTGCATCATCGTCGTCGTTGTCGTTGTCTTCGTCGTCTCCGTCGAAACCGTCGTCGAACACGTTCAGGGCATCTCGCGCTGAGTAGTTTTCTTACACCCCGAGGATTGCATCCCTCAGTTGAGTTGCGCCGTGTAGGTTGCACCCCATAAGTTATCCAGCTGCCTGCGGCAAGTCCGCCGAGTCCCGCCACCATGGCAGCCGAGCTTTCTGGATGGCGACTGCTCGAGGGGGCACTGGAGGCCGTCACGTCTGATACCCCGTTTTTCCAGGCTTGGGAAAGCCGTGATGAGGATGCTGATGATTTTCAGGACTAGGGGGATGATGTTGATGCTGCTGCTGCTGCTGCTGCTGATGATGATGATGATGATGATGCTGATGTTGCTGATGATGATGATGATGATGATGATGATGCTGATGATGATGATGATGATGATGATGATGATGTTGATGCTGCTGATGATGCTGCTGCTGATGTTGCTCCTGATGGTGATGCTGATTGTCATCATGATCATGATGATCATCACGAGCATGATCATGATGGTGGTGGTGGTGGTGAGAAGGAGGAGGATACTGATGCTGATGATGATACTGATGGTGATGCTGATGCTGATGTTGCTGCTGATGCTGCTGATGGTGATGCTGATGATGCTGCTAATGATGATGCTGATGCTGCTGATGATGATGATGATCACGATGATACTGATGATGATTATGATAATGATGATGCTGCTGATGATTAAGATTTATGATGCTGATGATGCTGCTGATGATGATGCTGATCATGTTGATGATGATTATGATGATGATGAGGATGACGATGCTGCTTATGATGCTGACGCTGATGCTGCTACTGCTGCTGATGATGATGGTGCTAATTCTGATTCAGATTTTGATGACGAGTATGATGCTGATGCTGCTGTTGATGATACTGATGATGATGAGGAGGAGGAGGAGGAGGAGGGGGGAGGAGGAGGAGGCTGATGAGGCTGATGATGCTGATGCTGATGCTGCTGCTGCTGCTGCTGATGATGACGATTATTCAGATTTTGATGATGAGTATGATGATGTTGCTGCTGCTGCTGCTGCTGCTGATGATGATGAGGAGGAGGAGGAGGAGGAGGAGGAGGAGGAGGAGGGGGGGGGCAGGAGGATGAGGCTGATGAGGCTGATGCTGCTGATGCTGATGCTGCTGCTGATGATGATGATGATGACGATGATGATGATGATGATGATGATGATGATGATGATGATGATGATGATGATGATGATGATGATGATGATGATGATGATGATGATGATGATGACGATGATGATGATGATGATGATGATGATGATGATGATGATGATGATGATGGTGGTGATGGTGATGGTGATGGTGATGGTGATGCTGACGACGATGACGACAGCGAGGATAATACGGATGAGGATGCGGATTAGGGTGAGGGTGAGGGTGAGGATGAGGATGAGTATCAAGCGCTACTTCAAGTGATGTCAGGAAGCGGCTCTCTCGGTCTGCTTGCCCTATTCAGGCGCACCCCCTGGGGCCCGCCAGCCCCTGGGGACAGTTTTCCGAGCCGCGACCGCGGGGCGACGAGGAGGGCCCCGAAGGCCAACGCGGAGGAGGGGGGAGGACTTGAGGGCGCAATTGGACGGAGGGCGCACGCTGCGCTTCTGGCCAGCGCCAGGCGCGCCACGGCGGCGGCCGTCCCGCGGGGCCCGCCACCGTCGTGGGGAGCGGCTCTTCGGCCTGCCGTCTCCGCCGGGAGCGCGCCGCTTTGGCCTCGCGCCCTGGTAGGGGGCCACATGCGAACCCTACCCCTACCCCCCACGATTTCTGAGGGAGAGGGTGGGGTTCACTTGGCTCGGGAGCTCCCGAACGAAAAACCCCACCCTCCCCGCATGTGGCCCCCTACCCGAAGCACCGCGCGTCCGGGGGCGGCGGGCCCTGGGTTTTCACGCCGCGCCAGCCTTGCTTCTCACTTTGCCCGCCGCCGCCGTGCCTCCCGCACGAGGCGGGCCGCGCCGCCGTGCCTGGGGGGCATGCCCTGCCGCACCCATCGCGGCGCCGCCGCCTGGCGGGCGCCAGGCTGGCGCAGGCCGCGGCGCGGGGCCGCCGGCGCAGCGCCCGCACGGCGCGCAGAGCAGCAGCATGCTTCTCCTCCTCCTCCTCTCCTCCCTCCTCCTCCTCCTCCTCCTCCTCCTCCTCCTCCTCCTCCTCCTCCTCCTCCCTCCTCCTCCTCCTCCTCCTCCTCCCTCCTCCTCCTCCTCCTCCTCCTCCTCCTCCTCCTCCTCCTCCTCCTCCTCCTCCTCCTCCTCCTCCTCCTCCTCCTGCTCCTTCTCCTCCTCGGCGCGCGGGAGGGAAGACCACCCGGGCCGGATAATTGGCGTCTGCCAAGCGGCCCTGGGCGTTTACTGAACAGCCCCGCCCTGTTCGAGCCCTTCTCTAGGCGCGCTTGCTACAGGCCTCGCGTGCCGAGGTGGTTAGTATCGGGGTGGACTTTCTGCCCTCGAATGCTGGCGCCCTCGCCGCTCGTCCACGGCCTGTGGGTTCCGTCCAGGTTCCGGTACCACCGGCGCGGCCGCGGCGACGGCGGCGGTCCCGGCGCCGCGCCAGCCGCCGCTCCCGCCCCGCGGTCGGGGCCAGGCAGGTCGTGGCCGCCCGCTGGGCCATCCTGGGCCGTCTTGGGACCGTCTTGCGCCGTTTTGGGGCTTCTCCTCGGGCCGTCTTGGGGCCCTCCTGGACGTATGGTGGATGTCTGGGGGCCGTCATGGGGCCGTTCTGGCATCGTTTTGGGCTGAAGGGCCAGGCCGTCTGGGATCCTGGGGGAGGCCCTCTTGGGCCGTCTTGGATGCCGCTTCGGCCACTGCGCCGTCCTCTTGGCCATCTTGGGCCCCCTTGGGGGTCTCTCGGGCCGTCTTGAGCTGACGGAAGCCGAAAAGGCGATAATGCTCACATCAGGACATACAACTCGAGGGCAATCGTTGAGTTTGGCTTCTGCGAACCCCGTGTGAGATCCTCTTATGGTGGTTTTGGGCCATCGTGGAGGCATCGTGGGCCGCCTTAAGGCCATATGCGCCCGCCTTGGGGCCACTTTGAGGAGTCCTCGAGGCATCCTGAGGTATCGTTGGTTGCCTGCACGGGTCATCTTGGTAATTCGTCTTTGATGACGGATCGTGGCCTCAGGAGCGCGGATCCAGAGCTTTTTATTGAAGCTCGTGGCCTCGGGAAGGGGGGGGGTCACGCACGGGTGCATTACTGCAGGGAGGGGTCCCTTCGTAGAATTCAGAAGCCTCACCAGCCAGCACTTTGTATTTACCACGCCTCAGTGTGCCAGGGTGCACGGTAGCGGAGATACCCTCCCGTGCGCCTCAGAGATGGCGCTCCGTACGTTGGGCATCTACTGGTTGTACCACGTACGGTCGGACGAAGGTGTAAGGCCGAGGTCAGTTTTGGGCGGGTACCCGAATGTTATTCGTGTTTGTTTGGTGGGTGCCCTCGTTCTTCGGCTTGGCCAGCGGATGGTCTCATGTTCTTGAAGGGTGTGCTTATGTCCCAGGTCTGGTGGCTGTAAGTGTGATGCTGCCTGGAGGTTGCACTGCATCATAATGTCTTTTGGTTGGGGCCCATGCGCCGTAGATCAGTTGGTTTGTGACGAACGGGCGGCGCCCAGCCTTGCCCGGTTTCTTGGTCCTGGTTTTCTTGCTGTTTTGCCAGGGATCCCCGGTTTCTTGCTTCGGGCTGTTCCCTGCTACCCTGTTTCGAGTTCCCCTGTCTTCTTCCTCGGCCTCGGGCTCCTGGTTCTTTTCCTTGGGTTTCCGGGTCGTTGCAATGCCAAACGCTGCCGAGCAATGTGAAGGTCAAGCAATCTCAAGGAATGCCATGCGATGCCAAGGAGTGCCAAGCAATGCCAAGCGCTGCCAAGCAATGCCAAGTAGAATCGCCAAGCAATGCAATGCTAAGTAATGTCAATCAATGCTAAGTTCTGACAGGCAATGCCAAGCAATGCTAAGCAACACCAAGCATTGCCAACCACAGCCAAGCGCTGTTAAGGAATGTTAAAGGATGCCAAGCAATGTCACGCATTGCAAAGCCCGTGCCAATCAATGCCAATTCATGCCAATCGATCCCCCTCCTCCCCATCCCTTTGTCCTCGTTCTGCTGCTGCGGTTGCTGCTGCTACTGCTGCTCGTTACCCCTGGCCGCATTCCCCCTTCTGCTCCTCCCTCCTGCTCTTCCTCGACGTCATCCGCATTCTCGTTTTCGACGCCAGTTCCGTTGCACCAGGTCTGCTCCGTTATTTGGAGCGACACGCAGGGTCTGGAAGCCAATATCGACGTCGTGCTCAAGAGCGACATGATGAGGAAGGCTGCGGCCCCAGAGGACGCGGTGGGGAATGCCGGAGAAGGTCTGGTGGGGTTGGGGTGGGCAGGCGGGAAGGTCAATTTCATAACGCTTCGCGTATCGCCATCAGCCTAAGCGTTGGGAAGGGACACCATGACACAATGTGATTTCCCCCAGACTCTCTGGTCGACACGACGTGGTGCCTCGGCTGGTCGCCACTGCGTACGCTGTCATGAGGACGCATGAAAGTGGCTTCCCCCCCATGGCACCGCCGCGGCCAGCGGGCCTCCCATACCTGCGGGTCCGGCCCGCATTGTACGGTTCGGGACGATCCAGGTGCTGGGCTTCGGCAAGGTGCAGACCGGCGCACCTCACCGCTTTTGGTACCACCCGATGCCGGGCCTGGTTTGGGCGTGTTCCTGCACAAGTGGTTCATCCTTTGGCAGGTCATCGCGGATCCCCCGGCAGGTCCGTCATATGTGTCCCGGTTAACGCTTGCGATTTTGTGCCCCCGATCCTCTGTGTCGGATAAGTTGCACGGGGTGAACGCCGGCGACGTCGACGACAGGTTCCCTGACTGGTGTCGTCGCCTTCGCGTTCTAGCTCCTGCACAAGTGGTTCATCCTTTGGCAGATCATCGCGGTCCTCCCGGCAGGCTGGGCCAGGTGACGTGACCAGCGCTTGCAGCTTTACGCCCCCGATCTTCCGTGTCGGACAAGTTGCAGGCTGTGGACCCAGACGGCATTGTCGACGGGTCTTTGACTGGGTACTGGTCGCTCTCACGCCCTACAGCGTCCTGTGAGTCACTGTGAGTGAGGCTTCTCTCTGTGCCTTCCCATTTTCCTGCTGCCGCGTGCCCTAGCGCCCGCCGTGTCTCTCCTGTTCCTTTGCCTCACCTTTTGTTGCGTGGACGGTGCGGCCACGCTTGGCCACCCCGTGCCGCCACAGTGCGGCGTGCTCCACGCCCCTTTGCGCTGTACGGTACGGTCGGAGCTTGGCGCCACGTGTGCGACAGCTCCTTTCCGTCCGCTTCCGGTTCTGTGCTTGCGTTCCCCTCTGTCGGGCCGCCAGCGTCAGCCCCCAATGAGGGTCATTTTGTCCCTGGCGTGTGCGCTCGCTTCAGCGGCTTATGCGCCTCTGCAGCCAATTATCTCGCTCTGTGCCCCAGTCGAGTCAATCCCGCTTCCTGGATTTGTCCTTGGAGCCGCCAATCAAAAAAATATCCCCATCAGCCGGCGACAGTTGCGCTGTTGCTGACCCTCACTTTACGACCTGTTTTGACGGCGCGCAGCTGCCTGCGTCGCTCGCGATCGAAAACAAATACCCCCATCAGCCCATCCAGACACGATGCCCAGCGAAGCTGCCCTGAACGGAGGAGCGTAGCATCACTTGGAGATCTCGGAGACCCGTGTGGGCTAGAGGCCCCTTGGATAATGCCTTGGGCCTCTTGGGTCGCCTCTTGTGGGCACATTGGAGGTCACTTGGGGTCTCTTCGGGGCCTCTTGGTGGCTCCTGGGAGGTCTCTTGGGGCGTCTTGGGGGCCTCTTGGCGGCCTGTTGGGACCTTTGCCGGGCGTCTTTGGGGCCTTTTGGGCACCTCTTGGGGTTTCTGGGGGCCTCTTGGGTGCCTCGTCGGGCTCACTTGGGGGCTTTTCGAGCCGTCGTGGGGACGCTGAGGATGCGATCGATCCAAAAAGAGGATCCTTAAGGTTGCCCTTTCCACCCTTCCCCCTTCCCCCCCAGGATGCCAACATGGCGCGATAACGTTGATCCATGCATGTTGTTTGTCTTCTCGCTGCGGCCATCTTGGACGCCCTGACCGCTTGCGGTCCCCCCTGAGGCCATCGATGCTCTGACCGCTTGCGGCCCCCCCTGGTCCACACCCAGGGGGAGGGAGGGGGTTGGGGGAGGGGTCAAGCTACCCACCCGCCCGCAAGCCGTCTAGTTCACTCCCACCCGCCCTCCCAACACAGAAGTAACACCCGAGCCTTGGCATGTTCGGCGGTCGTCTTTAGATGGACAGCTACTGGGAGCCAACGCCGACCCGAGGCGCGCGACGCTTGGGCGAGGTGCGCCACGCGTGCCAGGGGCGCCACGCGCGCCAGGCACCCGTGGGGCCCGAGCGTGCCAGGCACGCCCGGTGCGCCAGATGCGCCACGTGCTCAGAGTGCGCTAGGTGTGCCGCACACTCCAGCCGCGCCAGGTGCGCCATGTTCGGGGTACGTGCAGAGAACGTCAGGTGCGCCTGCGCACGTGACAGCACACATCGGGAAACATTCCGGCCACGCGCCACCACCATTGCACTTACTGTCAAGCAACTATGTGACTGATCGCGGGTTGGCCGCTCATGATCCAGATTTTGTTGCGAGGTGCATGTTGTATGTTTTTTTTTTTTTTTTTTGTCAGGGATGGTCGCCCTGCGGACGGCAGGGAGTATGCTGGCACCCTCGCCATCCCTATCAAAAGCAATACAAAATGTTCGCGGGCTTCACGGAGACGACTCAAGATTTTGCCCCACTGTGTATTTTGCATTGTTTTTTTTGTGACAGGGATGGTGGGGGGCCGCATCGGGTTGGTCGCACATGTTCCACATGTTGAGGCAGAGTGCGGGTTGTATTGTTTTTTGACAGGGATGGAGGGGGGCGGGTCGGCATGGTGTCCTCATGGTTCCTGGTTGATCGCCAGTCGCCTGGTGGAGGGGGTGTATCTTAATAAAGAACAGTGAACAAACTACCCTCCCACATAGCAGGCCGTCTAGCTCACTCCCACCCGCCCCCCCAGCACAAAAGTAACACCCGAGTGTCAGCAGGTCGCTTAGGAACGCCACGCATGCCATGCGCGCCACGGGTTCCAGGTGCACCAGGCACCCTGGAGGTCCAAGCGTGCCAGGTGCGGTACAGGCTCCACGTTCGCCAATTGTGTCACGTGCTCCAGCCGCGCCAGGTGCGCCAACTAGTGGGAACCAATCGGGACCCCAGGTTCCGGGGCCCTGGCCCCAAGGAGTTCCGGATTTTCAATCCCCTTGAAGCGAAGTGCCGAGCATTCTGTGAGAAGGGCGGCTCTCTCAAGGAACGCAGAGAATCAGCTCCGATGGGCAAATTATGACATCTTGAGGACTCGTGAAACAGATAACAGCTCAGAGACAAGAGGGCCCTGCTGAGCAGCAAGGAATATGCGGGCACTCCCGCCGTCCCTGTCAACACGATCAACTGCAAAGTGGTCGCGGAGCACCCGCGCATGCATCCGATTTGGGTGTAACGCAACGTAAAGTTTGCATTGCTTGTTGTAAGGGATGGTGTGGGGGGGCTCATTGGTCCCGGTTGGCTGCTGGTCGCATGGGGAGGGGGCATGCCGCAGCCGCGCAAGGTGCGCCACGTTCGGGGCTCGCGCAGGGTGTGCCAGGTGCGCCTGCGCACGTGGCAGTACACATCGGGGAACGTGTCGGTCCCCACCACCCTTGTCGAACACCAGTGCGCAATCGCGGCGGGGTGGCCATCATAGCGTCTGGTGGGCCTGTACATAACAGGCAATATGCCAGCACCTCAGCCGTCCCAGTCAAAAGCCAATGCGCGGTGATCGGGGGGTGCCCGAGCATTATCCAGATTTTGTCTTGGCGTGCCTTTTTGCATTTTTGTTTGACAGGGATGCTGGCCCTGCTCACAGCAGGCAATCTGCGGGCACCCCCGCCGCCCTTGTCAGGAAACATTACAAAGTGCTCGCGCCCCCCCCCGATCATGACCCAAGATGTTACCACAACGTGGACTTTACATTGTTTTTGACAGGGATCGGGGTGTGTGCACTCATTGGTCTTTGGTCCTGGTTGGCTGCTGGTCGCCTGAGGGTTTACGAAGCAGCGTCCAAGCTACCCCCCTAGACACAAACTCTTTGGCTCCCCCCCACTTGCTCCGAGTTATCACGTCTCAACACATTCAGCGGCCGTCTTTGTATGGACAGCAACTGGGAACCAATACAGACCCCAGGTGCGCGACGCTGGGGCGAGGTGCGCCACGCATGCCAGGCGTGCCACGCGTACCGGGCGCGCCAGTCGCCCATCGGGCCTTAGCGTGCCAGGCACCCCTGGTGCGCCAGATGCACAGCGATGCACCACGTGTTTCACGTGCGCCAAACGTGCCGCATGCTCCAGCCGCGACAGGTGAGCCACGTTCGGGGCACGTGCAGTGTGCGCCAGGTGCGCCCGAACACATCGGGAAACATGTAGCCCCCCACCACTGCTATTTTCGGAAACCAATTCACAATCGCGGCTGAGTGGTCATCAGCCTGGTTGGCCTGCGCACAGCATGCAATATGCCATCACCACCCCCGCTACCGTCAAACAGCCAGAATGCAAAGTGAACGCGGAGTGCCCGCGCATGCTCCAGATTTAGCCGCGACATGCAGTTTGCATTGTTTTTGTCAGGGATGGTGGCCCCGCGCGCATCAGGTAATATGCTGCCCCCCCGCCGTCCTTATTTAAAAGCAAAACGCAGTGCTCGTGCCCCCCGGATATGACCCAAGATGTTGCTCATGCCGCCCCGACATGACCCAAGAGTTTGCCGCAAAGTGCGGTGTGTGTGTGTGTGTGAGTGTGTGTGTGTGTGCTATTTTTTGAGCCAGATTGGGCGGGAGAGGGTGTGGCATGAGTCCTTGTTGGTCGGAGGTCGAGTAGGGGAGGGGGTGGTTATGTATAAGGAACAGTGATGGGCCTTTCCTGTACGGGAGCGAACGGGGTAACATGGACGAGGACTCGCCCCAAACATCCACCGCCCAGAGGGCGAGTTGGATTTGAGATTTTCTGTGCTCTCATGCTTCGAAAACATGATGTTCAGGGACCCTTGCGAAGGCGATGGAGAAGGAGACCGGAGGAATGACGGGGGATACTGCTCATCTGCGCTGTCTTGCTGTGTTCTGGAACAAGATACGCTCAACCATGTTTACAACTGGTTGCCCACTCTCTCTCTATTTTTTCTCTTTTTCTCTCTCTCTCTCTCTCTTTCTCTCTGTTTCATAGTTACATTTACACACACATTTATTCCTTTATACATTATATATCTATTCTCTCTCTCTCTCTTTCTACCTCTCTGTTGTTCTCTCTCTCCCTCTCTCTTTCTCTACCCTTTCTCTGTCTCTCTTCCGCTGTCTCTTCAGAAAGCTGCCAGTTCGCGAGTCCCCCGAGGACTTCAAGCCCCTTGTCCTCCTGAACGGGCAGATGGTGCACTTGTCCAGCGCTGTCCTCGGCTTCCTCATCTCCCCCGGCCCCCTCCTTCCTCCCCCCCTTTCGCTTCGCCTTCTCAGTTCCTTGTCTTTACAGATAACTCCTCCCTGTCGCACCTCGAGGCTGGGTATTCCGTTTGAGATTCCCCCACCGTTTATGATTCTGAAGCTTCAAAATTGGCAACAGCTTCGCAGATGGAGGGCGGGTGGTTTTCAAAATCTGGCTCTCGCCTCATCGCCGCGCACATTCGTTTAAAACAATTGCGAGAGTTTCACGGGTTGAAGGCGGGTGATGTTCGAAAGGTGGCTTTGGACTTAACGCCGTGCGCGTTCGTTCTAAACATTTACAGTGGGTTTCAGGGATTGAGGGCGGTTCTTTTTCAACATGCGGTTCTCGCTCTAGCGCCGCGCACATTCTTTCAAACAACATTATCGCAAGATTTTCATTGATTCCCAAGGTCTACGTACCAATGATGGTACTTCGGAGCGGTTCAGGATTGTCAGGTCGCAACAGTTCCGTTGATTCGCAGTGTTGAGGTCCACAAAATTGTATTCTGGCACGATTCAGGATCGCCAAGACGTAATCGTCAGGTTCATTCGTGGCGTTGCAGTCCTGTCAGCGGTCTTTTGGTACGGTCCAGGATTTTCACACGTTGGTCCCCCGACTGGGCACCTCCTTCAGTGGAAATGAACCCTTGTATGGTGCCTGTGAAAAGAGGCTCGGAGTGAGCGTGTATTTCAACATCGTTGAGTTGACGAATCCTGGATTTGCACTGGTGTTCCTCCTCCTCCTGTTCCTCCCTCTCCGCCTCTTCCTTCCTCACCCTCCCTCCTTCCTGTTCTTCTCTTTCCTCATTTCCTCCTCCTCCTCCTCCTCCTCCTCCCACTCTGTTCCTTCTCCTCCTCCCCCCCCTCCTCCCCGCCCTCCTCCCCTTCGTCCTACTCCTCGTCCTCCTCCTCCTCCTCCTCCCCCTCTTCCTCCTCCTCCTCCTCCTCCTCCTCCTCCTCCTCCTCCTCCTCCTCCTCCCAGTCGAACGGTAACGGCTCTGCCTTGTTCACCCCTTCGTTGACTGGACCCGCCGCTGTGTTGGCTGAAGCCAGTACTGCGCCCGTGCCCGCCTTGTCCGCGCGCTATTTGCCGCTATTCGCCTCTCACATCAATTTCTCCAGTTGGTAGAGGAGCTTCTGCTCATGAGAAACGGCCGCAATGGCCTCTCGCTTTCGCTTCGCATCGTTTGCACCAGCTCTTGTTCTCCATCGCCTTCATGACCGCGTTCATACAGACAGCTGACCACCGCGCTGGTCGTCCGCCTTCTTTGCGTTCGTGTGCTTCTACCTGTTCACCTTCGCGGCAGGTTGGTCGCGGAGTTGCATGCGTGTGCCCACCGTGGATTTGTTTACCAGACACACTAGCCACGTCGAGGCCCCCTAATATATAAGAACGTATCCAAATACGCGGATAAGGTCATTAACATCAGCAATATATGCCCATGATTATACATCTTCCTGGAATTAGAATTTTTGCTGGATTGAGGTTATCCGCCGAAATACTCACCGCGAGGTCTCGCGGGTGCGTCGCGTGCCTCGGAGGTGCCAGGGCCGACCGAGTACGGAATGGTGACGGACCCGAACAAGAGCATCATGGGAAGAACGGACTCAGGGCCCGCATCCCTCGCGCGTCGACGGGGTGAACTACGGCTGGGTAGAATGACCCACAGCGGCGGCGCCCAGCGGCCCGCGCCACTGGCGCGGCCGCTGGGCCCCCTCGGCCACTAACTCCGACTCCTCCGTCTCAGACGGTGCTTTTTCCGCGCCGTCGGAGGTTGGCGAATCAGTCAAGTCGACGCCGCGCCTTCCTCGTGCTGCAGGGAGGCATCGGCCTTCCAGCGTCGGATCGAGCATGTTTGATGTTGGGGCCACCTCCAGGATTGGACGCGCGGGCGCAGCGCGGGGCGGATTCGCGGCCGAGGGTCATCAGGTTTCCGAGGCCTCTCGCCGATCCTTGAGTCATTGGGGCACGTCGAATCCGGGGCGCCCACTGATCGCCGATGGGGGCCCGGTCGCCCCAGCTTGCCGGGGAACGCGCGGATGGGCGATCGGGGGCCTGTCGCCGATTCCAGGTCGATGCGACCCCCGTTGCGCCGGCCCCCGGCGCCATTGGAATTTCCGCCGGCGATGTGATGCCGAAAGTGGTTGGGCCGGAGGGTCTGAGAGGGCCGGCGCGGAAGCAACGCGGCCGTCGAGAGGGCCTCGCGCGGAGCCCAGCGCGGCGTCCAGCCCCTCGCACGCGCTGCCGAGGAAACTTTGCCCCGACGGCGCGGAGTCGGAGTCGTGCCGGCGGGGCCTCGTCTGGCGCGCCCATTTCGTCGGCGCGCGCCGCTGGGCCAAGCGCGTCGAGCATGCGAACCCGAGTCTGCTCGGACCGGGCTTTGCTTAGTTTCCTGACAGCTGCTGCCCTGGAGATCGCGGGCGGTGTCTGAAGTCCGTCTGCCGCGGGCGCTCGTCTGGCAGCCGCCGTTGCAAACTTCTTTTTCTGCCCCAGCTGTCGCCCGCCAGCTGCCCGCAACTGCGCGGGGCCTCGCGGGCAGGGGCGGGGGGGGGCGGGGGGGGCGTGCGCGGCGCGGCGATCGCCGAGAGGGGCTCTGTGCTGGCGCGCGCGCGGGGGCGCTTCGCGTGGGCCGAAGTTCAGCGGCGAGCTCCCGCGCGTCTGCGGGCCGAGGCAGACCGCGCTGGAATGGCAGGGCAATCCGGGGCCCTTGATGCGTCGGCTCAGCTGAGGGAGTTGGCCCGCAAGGTGATGGCGTCGGTTGCGAGCGAGAGGCGCGCCTGTGATCTCGTGGAGAACGTGCGTGGCAGGAAGGGCCGGGTCCGCGATCCGGGGGTCTGCCGAGGCGCGGGCCGACGCCCGGCGGCGGGCCTCTCAGGGGCCCGAGTCGATTGGGGCGAACGGCGCGATGATCGAGACTGAGGCTCAGGAGGCGCTTCGGACTGCCTGCGCCGAGAGAGCTGCTGTAGAAGCGCCTGCCATTCGCGCCGCGCAGCAGCGCTCGGCGATGGCGCAGAAGGCGGAGAAGCAGATGGCAGACGCGCGACGCGAGGCGAGGATGCTCGCGGAAGCATCTGGCTCGAACTGCGTTCGAGCAACCGCGGGGGTACGTCGCGTCCGGGGCCAAATCGCTCGCGGTGCGAATTGCCGAGCTTAAATAAAGGTGGGGCGCGGGGGGCGGCCCGAACCGTCGAGGCGAGGGCCGAGCAGACCGTGGGAGCTTGGGAAGCGCAGCGTGAACGACTTGGCCAGGGGCGAGCTGAGCGCCGCGTCGAGGGGCAATTGCAGCGGCACTTCGCGCGGGCAACCTGCGGCGCGGCGCGCGCCGCGATAACTCCTGCGCCGGCGAGGCGCGGGGCGGGCCAGGGGGCCGCCCCCGTTGCGGCGAACTGCGGTCAGTGGCGTCATTGGCTTCGACTTCGCACTGAGTGCGATCGCCCGCGCCGTGGCGGGGCCCTCCGCGAACGGCGTTGCGCAGCGCCGCGTTGAGGGGGTGCTTGTCGCTCTGCTAGAACATGGCCAAGAGCGAGAAAGGAGCCGGGGTGAGTCATCGGGGAGACAGAGGAAAAGCGGGGGAGCAGGTGGTCGGGCGACAGCTCGAAGATCCCATCGCATCTTAAACCCCAGGGCAGGCAGTGCCATTTGACTGCCCGCCGAATCCAGAGGCGTCTCTCGATATTGGTGAGGGTGCTTCGGGGGCGGCGGCGGCGGCGCGGCCGCCCCGAGACAGGGCCGCAGCTGAGCGTGCGAGAAGTGGCGGAGATGCTCACTGGGGCGACGAGAGGACCGGACAACTCCGTCGAACAAAAGGCCTAGAAGAAGGAGGACAACGCGAGGAAGCTCGCAATTCAGTGTCGAGGCGGTCATAAGCCGAGGCAGCCGTGGAAGTTTTGGCTCGGGGGGGGGGGCCCGCAGCGGCGGCGGGGGGGCGCGGTGGCGGGGCGCGCGAGCACCGCCCCTGCGACCTCCTGTCCCGGATATTTTCCACCTGGTCCCGTGGGCCAGGCGGCGGCGGAGGGCGGGGCGGCGGCGCCTTCCAGGGGGGGGGGGCGAAGGCGATTTGCCGCCCTCCAAAGAGCCGGCAAAGCGACCCTATTGGTCGCGTCTTCCTGGCGGCGTTGGCGACCCAGGTGAAGGTTGCGATTGCTCATCTGGCGGTGGGTCTGACGATGGATCGCATGGGCACTCGGGCGACAAAGACGAGGAAGATGGAGAGATGCGTCGCCGCCGTTGGGGGGGCCGCTCAGCGGGCCCCCCGACGGGGGCGGGTGCGATTCCGTGATCGGGGGAGTTCATGATCCTTTTGCTACATGGGACGACGCAGGGAAAACGGAGAGAGTCTCCATTGACTTGGTCCTTGACGCGGCCAGATTCCGATAATGGAGCAGGGGCGCCACCGGGCGCGTTGCGTCATGCCCCCCCGAACTGGGAGGCTGCCGCGACGTGGATTTCGGGCGCTTGAAATTTGGGTCAAAATCAATTGAGTATCGGAGCTTTTTGGGCGACTTGACTTGATGGTCGCGTTGGCCCTCGTGGGCGAGGTCAGCGCGATCGCCCCGCGTCCAACATCTTCGCCGCAGCTTCGGCATTTGGCATGTGAAGTAGATCGCTGCAGCGACTTCGATGCCCAAAAAACCGACGACGTTGCGGGGCCGGTCCGTCTTTTGGACTATTGCCGCACATGTGACCACGAGGGGGTCAGCGGCCAGGTGTGCGGGTGCCAGGACTTGACGAAGATCATGATTCGCGTCCTGGGCATGGGCGCCGATGCCGATTTGAATCGCTTCTCTGACGAGTGGGCGAAAATCATGCCATCCATCAAGGGGCACTTCTGCTGGGAAATGACGAAGAGCCCGCGCGTGGCGATGGCCCTGGCGATGTATGGCCATAGAAACGACCCGTGCGGCCAGGGCGCCATGTCGCGCGAGTGGTTGTTTGGGCAGACCCTCCGGCCCGTGCTCGCTG